AAGAAAGGGGTCCAGTTTCAGCTTTCTGCACATGGCTAGCCAGTTTTCCCAGCACCATTTATTAAAGATAGAATAAAGATAAACTAGGCAAGCAGCTAGCGCCTGTTCACTACTAATTAAAAATAAACTAGAAGGCATTCTTTAAGTGGAGAAATGGGGGCAAGATCATGCATCCTGCGTTTTAAGAACTGGTTTCACTAGTGCGTGACTGGTACATATTGCTTACTATTCTATAATGCCATAAGCGGTTTTCTGCCTTGGGACGGCACCATGTTCCTTGCCGTCATCTCTCAGTAAACAATATGTAATCCATCACACACATCAGTGTTTGTTCTCATCAGTGGATACCAGCCAAGTATGTATGCAGAAGCTGGAGGAGGTGGTGTCTGATTTGCTTAGGGCTCAGAGGATTGGTTTGACCAGGCACGTCACTCATGTAGCCTGCAGAAAAAGCTGGCCCCGCCACCCTGGCCTTTTAATATACAAATGCAGGGCTCCTTGAATGTTCTATGCATGTGGGGATATGTGGGGACAACCATGTTACCAGGAACATGTGGTTCAAGGTCAACAAGGCTGGGAATTGCTTCCCAAAGTGCTGGGATTACAGGTGTGAGCCACCACGCCCAGCCTGACATAACCACTTTGGAAAATGGTTTACTAATTTTTTGTGCAGTAAAGCATACATTTATCATATAGCCCAACAATTCCACTCCTAGGTATTTACTCAAGAGAAATAAAATTACGTGTCATAAAAAGTCCTGCACATGATTGCATGAATGTTCTTGATAGTTTCATAATAACTAAATTCTGGAAACAACCCAGCTATCTAGCAATTTGTTTTAAGTTTTTAGTCCAGGGGTACATGTGCCGATTTGTTACATAGGTAAACTTGTGTCATGGGGGGTTGTTGTACAGATTATTTGGTCACCCAGGTGTTGAGCCTAGTGCCCATTAGTTATTTTTCCTGATCCTCTTCCTCCTTCTACCCTCCATCCTCTACCCTTCGATAGGCCCCAGTGTCTATTGTTCCCCTCAATATGTCCATGTGTTTTTGTCATTGAGCTCCCACTTATAAGTGAGAACATGCTGTATTTGGTTTTCTGTTCCTCTGTTAGCTTGCTAAACATAATGGCCTCCAGCTCCATCCAAGTTCCTGCAAAGGACATGATCTCGTTCTTTTTTATGGCTGCGTTGTATTCCATGGTATGTATATACCACATTTTCTTTAACCAGTCTACGACATACATGTACATGTCTCTTTATGACAGAACAATTTCTATTCCTTTGGGTGTATACCCAGTAATAGAATTGCTGGTTTGAATGGCAGTTCTGTTTTTAGGTCTTCGAGGAATCACTACACTGTTTTCCACAATGGCTGAACTAATTTACAACCCAAGTAACAGTGTATATGTGTTCCTTTTTCTCTGCAACCTCTCCAGCATGTTATTTTTTGACTTTTAAATAGTAGCCATTCCGACTGATGTGAGATGATACTCGTTGTGGTTTTGATTTACATTTCTCTAATCAGTAATCTTGAGCCTTTTTAAACATGCTTGTTGGCTGTATGTATGTCTTTTTTTGAAAAGTGTCAGTTCATATTTTTTGCCCACATTATAATGGGATTGTTTTCTTGTAAATTTGTTTAAGTATCTTTATAGATGCTGTGTATTAGACCTTTGTCAGATGCATAGTTTGTAAAATTTTTCTCTTATTCTATAGGTTGGTTGTCTGTTTACTTTATTGGTTTCTTTTGCTGTCCTGAAGCTCTTTCGTTCAATTAGATCCCATTTGTCGATTTTTGCTTTTGTCGCAATTGCTTTTGGTATCTTCAGCATGCAATCTTTGCCCATTCCTGTGTCCAGAATGGTATTGCCTAGGTCGTCCTCCAAGGTTTCTATAGTTTGGGGTTTTACATATAAGTCTTATAATCTTGAGTTGATTTTTGTGTATGATGTAAGAAAGGGGTCCAGTTTCAGTCTTCCACATATGGCTACCCAGTTATCTCAGCATCATTTATTGAATACGGAGTCCTTTCCCCATTGTTTGTGTTAGCTTGGTCAAAAATCAGATGGTTGTGGATGTACATCCTTATTTCTGGGTTCTCTGTTCTGTTCCATTGGTCTATGTGTCTGTTTTTGTACCAGTACCATGCTGTTTTGGTTACTGTAGCCCTGTAGTATAGTTTGACGTCAGGTAGCATGATGCCTCCAGCTTTGTTCTTTTTGCTTAGGATTGCCTTGGCTCTTAGGATTCTTTTTTGGCTCCATATGAATTTTAAAATAGTTTTTTCCTAGTTCTGTGAAGAATGTCATTGGTAGTTTGATAGGAATAGCATTAAATCTGTAAACTGTTTTGGGTAGTATGGCCCTTTTAATGATATTGATTCTTCCTACCCATGAGCATGGAGTGTGTTTCCATTTGTTTGTATCATCTCTGATTTCTTTGAGCAGTGTTTTGTAGTTCTCCTTGTAGAGATCCTTCACCTCCCCCTCTAGCTGTATTCCTAGGAATGTTATTCTTTTTGTGGCAGTTGTGAATGGGAGCTCGTTCCTGATTTGGCCCTTGGTTTGGCTGTTGTTGGTTCATTGACTTTGTATCCTGAGACTTTGCTGAATAGCAATTTGGATAGACAAATTGTGATGTATTCATATAACAGAATAATATGTAAAAAGAAATGAACTACTGATGCACACAATTCAGATAACTCTCAACATCTTTATGCTGAGTAAAAGTAGTCAGACACTGAAGTTGGTACCATATGGTTCCATTTGCAAAATTCTAGAATGAACAACCAGTGACAGAAATCACTGTTTGTCTAGGACTAGGGCTGGGGATTGACTGCCTGGAGTGAGGAGGGACTTTACTGCATGTAAATTATACCTTAATAAAGTTGATTTTTTAAAGGAAAATACTAGCAACTACTTGCCAACAGTTTTGAAAATACAAATTCCTTTTCAAAATTATCAGAACTGACTCAAGAAGTAGAAGGCTTGAAAGTTTAGACTGGGCACAGTGGCTCATGCCTATAATTCCAGCACTTTGGAAGGCCAAGGTGGACAGATCACTTGAGGTCAGGAGTTGGAGACCAGCCTGGCCAACATGGCAAAACCCTAATCTCTACTAAATATACAAAAATTAGCCAAGTGTGGTGGTGTGTGCCTGTAGTCCCAGCTACTCAAGAGGCCGAGGCAAGCAAATCACTTGGACCCGGGAAGTGGAGGTTGCAGTGAGCCAACATCGTGCCACTGCACTCCAGCCTGGGCAACAGAGCAAGACTCTGTCTAAAAAAAAAAAAAAAAGAACTTGAAAGTTTAGTCTAGAGCTATTAAATTGAAGACATGGTTAATAATCTTCCCATTACTAAAATACATAGCCAGATGATTTGGCAGGCTTGTTCTACCAAACTTTCCCCTTTTTTTTTTTTTTTTTTTTTTGACTCCAGGTCCCAACCTGATCTACTAAACTTTGAAGAAACAAATCATCTCAGTTTTTATACAAATTCTTTTAGGCATTAGAAAAAGAGGGACTACCTCAGCTCATCCTGAGGTAGCATAACCCTGCAAAATCCAGAGATGCACGTTACAAAAACAAAATCACAGGTCTACTACATTCATGAATACAGATGCAGAAAATTTAAAGACACTAGCAAATCAGCTTCAACTGTGTGTATAAAAGACAATATCCCAAATTGGACTCTGCTAGCTATGCAAGAATAGTATGATATTTAAAAATCCATACAAATAACTTACCACAGCAGTAGATTAATAGAGGGAAAAATACAGTCATTTGACTAGATGCAATAAATGCATTTGGTAAACTTAACACCCAAGTATGAAGTAGTGTTTTCAGTTAGATTTTTTTTTCTTCATTCTGATTGAGGGGATATTGTTAGCAAGACTGAGAGAGAATATCATCAGAAACCTACAGCTTTACTATTTTGGTAAGGGACCAGAAGACGGTGATGGGGGATCTATTACTAACCATAAGTGAGAAGCAGTATAACGGTGGTTGAAAGGAAGGACCCTGTAGCCAGATATCCCTAGGATTTTTCTTGTTTCTCTCTTGCCTGCTGTGTTGACTGAGTCTTCTCTGTAGATGAGAGCTATAATACCTTCCACAGGCTATTGACTTGAGGCTTAATGAATTAATGTACATGAAACACATAGAACACTGTTGATGCACAGTATGCACTGAAGTCGATTTCAGTCATTTTTCTTAAAAAAGTTTTTTAGAGACAATCCCTACTTCTGTCACCCAGGCTGGAGTGCAGTGGCACAATCATAGCTCACTATAGCCTCAACCTTCTAGGCTTAAGCAATCCTCTCACCTCAGCCTCCCAAGTAGCTAAGGCCACAGGTGTGTGCCACTGCTCCTGACTAATTTTTTTGAGAAAGAGTCTCTCTCTGTTGCCCAGGCTGGAGTGCAATGGCATGATCTTGGTTCACTGCAACCTCCATTGAGATGAGGTGATGATTACAAGCTATGAGAATGGCTCCCTGGTTCAAGCCATTCTCTCCCCTCTGCCTTCCTACTAGCTGGGATTACAGGCACGTGCCACCATTCCTGGCTCCTTTTTGTATTTTTACTAGAGATAGGCTTTCACCATGTTAGCCAGGCTGGTCTCAAACTCCTGACCTCAAGTGATCTGCCTCCCTCGGTCTCCTAAAGTGCTGGGATTACAGGCATGAGCCACTGCACTCAGCCCTGACTAATTCTTAAAATTTTTGTCAAGGTAGGATCTCGCCATGTAGTCTAGGCTGGGCTCAAGCTCCTGGCTTCAAGTGATCCTCTCATTTTGGCTTCCCAGCATTCTGGATTTACAGGCATGAGGCACTGCAGCTGATCTCAATAGTTTTTCTTATAGCTTTCAAATAAGATATGTTATATTTTAAGGCCATCTCCATCTTAGCCAAAAGGCTGAATTAATGACTATGTCTAGGCTGATAAAAGTGCTTTCCTTTTCAGATTACAAATTGACTCTTTTCTGTGTGTGTCCCAAGGTGAGTGATTTCACGTGGAGCCATGATGGGACTCAAGCACTTATTTCCTATCGAGATGGGTTTGTCCTGGTTGGTTCTGTCAGTGGACAAAGACACTGGTCATCTGAAATCAACTTGGAAAGTCAAATTACGTGCGGCATATGGACTCCTGATGACCAACAGGTAACGCCTCTGGAATGTGGGTGTGTGATGTTAAAACCATGGAAGCTGGGAGGGAGGAAAGGGGCAGGAGCAGGAGCTGGTGCAGAAGCCGCTTGAGGAATCACAAAGGAAAAGAACGAGAAAACCGTCCAGGTAAAAATTAAAACAAAAATTTTAAATGAACCACAAATTGGAGAAACAATGTTTCCCACCAGTATGGTAACATTAAGTTAACATTTTAATTATATAAAATATATATACAATTTTATTTTATTAATAAAATTTGCATAAATATGCAGTTGATACTATGTATCCACTAAGTTAATACTAATCTAAACAAACAATAGGATAGGAAATGAGATATGTGGTATATTGCTACATCATAAGACATCAAAGAAGCCCATCCCCTGGTAAAAAGAGCTGGAGGGAAGTGAATCAAAAGATTACAAGCAGCTCTTTTATGGCAATGAGCCTCTGGTTCATTTTTTAAAAATCAAATTTCAAAATTTTTTTTAATGTGCCTGTTTGACTTAAATGAGAAAGTAACATATAATAACAATAAAATTCTATATTGATAATTCATTTTGGAGGCCGGGCGCAGTGGCTCACACATGTGATCCCAGCACTTTGGGATGCCGAGGCGGGTGGATCACCTAAGGTCTGGAGTTCAAGACCAGCCTGACCAATATGGTGAAACCCAGTCTGTACTAAAAAACATATGAAAATTAGCCGGCATGGTGGCCTGCGCCTGTAGTCCCAGCTACTCTGGAGGCTGAGACAGGAGAATTTCTTGAACCCTGTAGGTGGAGGCTGCAGTGAGCTGGGATCATGCCATCGCACTCCAGCCTGGGCGACAGAGACTCTGGCTCAAAAATAAAATAAAATAAAAATAATAGAAGATAATTTATTTTTTAAATGTAAGGATTGACTAGTTAAAACCTTTGTAAATATAAAACGTACTTTCCAAGTATAGCAGAATACATGTAATGCCAGAATGTTTTATGCCAGGGATTTAAGTTTATTATTGGTAAAAAGCAAGCAGTATAATACGGAACTATAACTTTCATTTTTGAGCCACTTTTTTTTAACCGAATTGGTTTCCTCTGGTCACTATGTATTTAATGTTTTCATTTTTCAAGTGAAAAGGCAAATAATTTTTCTCTTCTCGAAATTGGTATTAGGAGATTTCTGAAAAGGTATTTTCAACTCCATGTTTCTTCCCTTGCTTTCCCCCAAAGACTTCCAATTATCCCTTACTATTTGTGTGTATTTATATGAAATACTTAGATTCGTTTATTATAAAGGTATATTTTTATAGGTTTTTACTACCTCCAGAATCCCCTCAAGGAAAAGTGTGTTGCATTAAGTGACCTTATCCAGGGCACCTGATCTCTCCTGGGTCAGTTTCTCCTATGTGACAAGGACTGTGAATTATTTCCTGCCTAATTCCGAGGTCTTTTGTAATGATAAACGAAGGAACAGATGTGAAGGCCCTTAAGAATCTATGAGTGGAAGTCTTGGCTTCACATTCTTTTCTCGCCTAGAGTGATGGAACCCGGGAGCCATCTGTGAGGTTCATCTAATGGTCCTCTGATAAGTTGTGCCAGCCAGTGTCCCCAGCAGACTGCACACATGTAGGACAGGCCGGGGACCCACTGGGGATACAGCAGTGAGAGGGATGTGGCTTTTGCCTGTGAGGGACAATTGGACCTGTTGTGGAGACAGACCTCTCCTTACACAGAATACAGCAGCCATGGCTTGGCAACGTGTCGGGGAGGACTTCCCAGGAAGGGCTGGCTGCAACTCCCAAGTCGAATATGGGGGACGTTGTTGCAGGCAGCCCGAGCAGAGTTCCAGGGTATCGACACCATGGTGTTGATGTGCCACAGGGAGTGGTTTACTGCTGCTGTGGAACATGAAGGGGACTCATGGGGTGGGAGGAGTCAGTCAGACCATGGCCATGGGACGAATGGAGGCCATGCTGACGTACCTGGCCTTGACTCTATAGACCTTGGCGTGAGGAAAGAACTGATGTGGCAAGCGATTGGGCACTTGGCCCAGCCTCTGTCCTGATGACTGCTTTTACTAAGAGGTAGGATTTTGCTCTAGGAAAGTACCCCCACTGCCTTTAAATAAAAGGTTTGCAGCCAGGCACCTGTAGTCTCAGCTAGTCAGAGGCTGCGGTGGGAGGCTCACTTGAACATAGGAGTTCTGGAGACCAGCCTAGGAAACATAGCAGGACCCCATCTCTTGGAGGGGGGTTGCAGGTCACTGAAGCAATAAGGACCCTTGGAAGAATTGAACACAGAGAATATGTGTATCAGGCACTCTGTCAGTCCTCTTTGAACTGGGACATTGAACAGTAATCTTGTCTCTGCCACTCATTCAAATCTCTTGCTTGGTCTGATTTTATTAATGAAAAAAGAGTACAGAGACAGGTTGTTCACCAGTCTAATGTTTGTAACGTCGGAAGTTTGATGTGGAAAGCAGCACCCCTGCAGCTCAGGCAGCTCTGAACAGTGGACATGAAGGTAGAGCAGCAGGAAGCCGGCTGAATCTCCTTCTGCTTCCCTGAGAACTTTCTGCCTTTAATGTGAGTTAAAACAGCTTCCAGGAGTAAACCTTTTCCTCACATCTTGAGCTATTTTGGATTATAATGGTATTTTAGGCTACTTCCTATCAGCTTTAAAAAATACAAGCAGTACATGGCTGGGCACGATGGCTCGTGACTGTCATCCCAGCACTTTGGGAGGCTGAGGCGGGTGGATCGCCTGAGGTCAGGAGTTCAAGGCCAGCCTGGCCAACATGGTGAAACTCTGTCTCTACTAAAAATACAAAAATTAGCTGGGTGTAGTGGCATGCGCCTGTAGTCCCAGCTACTCAGGAGGCTGAGGCAAGAGAATTGCTTGAACCCAGGAGGCGGAGGTTGCAGTGAGCTGAGATTGCACCACTGCACTCCAGAGTGGCACTGCATCTCCAAAATAATAATAATGATAATAGTAATAACAATAATAATAATAAAGCAGTGTATATTTTCAAGCATCAAGTTTGAAGTGTAGCTATTTTCCTATTTGTCATATTTTTTTTTCATTCTACAGGATGGTTTATTACCCTTTGTGGTGTTATAGACTACTTTAGATGAATATCAGATAGAAACTGAACCTTTTACTTGGAAGAATGCACATGTGTACATTATATGTCACATATGATTATATAGATCACTTTGCATACAGCTTTGAGAATTTGTTGTATTCCATCTGTGGATTCTCCTCTTCACATCCTGATCCAGATGGAGGTGATATTTTGGGGTAATAGAAACCCCAACTTTCTATTATGAATATGTTCAAATGTACAGAAAATTTGAGAAAAGACGCCTTCCTGAAACATTTTGCCATATTTGCATACTTTTTCCTTACTGCTCCCCACGTACAGGCTTTTGTAGTACTTGTTTTTGAAAGTAAGTTGTAGACATTGTGACATATCAGCCTTACATCTTTCAACTTGTGTATCCTGAGAAGAAGGCCATTCGCCTGCACAGGCTCTCCTAAGGAATTAGCAGTGACATTATCTGGCATCTAGGCTATCTTTGTATTTCCCTAGGCTTTTTCTTTTTTTGTTTTTTGGAACCAGGATCCAGTTTAATTCGTGTACAGGAGTTGATTGTTCTGTCTCTTCAGTCTTTTAGTCTAGAACAGTTTCCTTTTTTTAAATTGACTTTTTCATGAGGTCAGTGTGGCTGCCTGTCCTCACACTCTAGATTTGTCTGATTGTTTATTCATAGTATTGTTTTACTTCTGGCCCTTGTATTTCCTATAAACTGGAAGTTAAGTCTAGATTAGAGTTGGAGTAAACAATTTTGGTAAGAATACTCTAAAGGTAACATACTCTTTATGCTGAACCACACTAAAAAGTATATAATGTCTCATCCCAGTCTCAGGGTTGCTGAATTTGATTTAACCTTTGTAAAAACAAAAGTTATTTTTCAGGCCAGGTGCGGTGGCTCATGCCTGTTATCCCAGCACTTTGGGAGGCCAAGGTGGGTAGATCACTTAAGGTCAGGAGTTCGAGACCAGCCTCTACAAAAAAATACAAAATTAGCTTGGAATGGTGGTGCACGCCTGTAATCTCAACTACTTGGGAGGCTGAGGCAGGAGAATTGCTTGAACCCAGGAGGTAGAGGTCACAGTGATCCGAGGTTGTGCCATTGCACTCCAGTCTGAGCAGCAAGACTCTGTCTCAAAAAAAAAAAAAGTTTATTTTTCACATCATGTTGTTAATGTCATCTTCACTTAAACAGCTAATTTGTTCAAAGGATGTGTTCAACTTCAGGCTAAAATTTGTCTTCTATTAAATTGCAAGAAAGGAATGTAATTCTACCTGGAATTTATTTAGTGAGTGAGGACATGGTATTAGTTTGCTTGGGCTGCCACGACAATATGACAGACTGGACGGTTTCAACAACAGAAATGTATTTCTCACAGTTATGGAGGCTAGAAGTCCAAGATCAAGGTGTTGGCAGGTTTGATTTCTCCTGAGGCCTCTCCCCTTGGCTTACAAACACCTGCCTTCTTACCGTGTTCTCACGTGGACTTTTCTCTGTGCACCCACGTTTCTGGTGTCTCTTCCTCTTCCTGTAAGGACACCAGTCCTATTAGGGTTCCACCCATACTACTTCATTAACCATAATTACCTCTTGATAGGCCCCATCTCCAAAAATAGTCACATTGGGGGTTCAACACATTTATTCAACAAAATTCAAAATATGAATTTTGGGGCACACAGTTCAGTCTATAATAGACTGATAGAAAATATTTTGGAGAAAAGAAAAGTCACTGAAGAAGTAGTGATATAAACTCAGCTTGATAAACTCAGGATATATTTATAAATAGAACAGGTTTTATAGGGCTTGGGAGCAAACCAAAATGACACAAATAGAAAATGTCAAATAAATTTAAGCATGGCTAGGAAAAGTATCTGCATCCAGAGTAATGTTGCTGCAGTGAAGCTTTTGCAGTTTTGGA